GTAGCTAGTTGGTTAGATCTTTGGTGTTGATTAGAAAGTTGGTTGGTTGTGTTTGGCTTAGTGTTTGATATGCTCAAAGAACTCTGTTGGTTATTTCTTTCAACCTGGCAATGCTATGACTTCTTGTTTGTTCTGGTATCTTTTGGATCCTTTAAGTTTTGACCAAAAGGATATTCTTGACACTCTTGTCACATTGTTGTTCCGTTTTACCGTTTTGTTTTAATTCGTCGTACCCAAGCTTCGGGGACGAAGCTTCTTTTAAGGGGGAGAGGATGTGACACCCCATAAATCCAAATTCTATTTAGAGATTAATTAAGAAATTAATCCTAATCTAATTGGTAATTTATTCTTTAAATTCATGAAAATTCAATAGTCGGGGACTAGTAATTGACTAGTCAACCCAAGTTAATGAGTTGCACTCTAAGCTTTGTGAATAGTTCCCTTGTCCCCTTACACTTTTCCATCTTAGTAAGGGTAATGAAGACATTTCACCTCATGATTGTATCCCAAGCTAACCTAGAGTTGTCTTTCATTCTTTCCCTAACACTCTCAAAACAAAAGCTCCTCTTTCTCACTAGAATTTAGCTAGCTTCTTCTTCAAGCCAAGTTTGGGCATTCCAAGATCTTCCAAGTTTGTCTCCAAGGTTCCACCTTTCCTACTTTTGAGCATCTAGGAGGGTAAGATCTAAGGTCCTTTAGTGTTTTTAGTGCTTTTAAAGGTATCTTTTTCTAAAGATGAAATCTTTATGGTCTTGTGGTGTGTTCTTGAAGTTGGTGTTGAAGGAGAGCCTTGTTAGAAGCTTGTTAAGGTGTGAAAAGTGAAGTTGTAGGCTACAAGAGGTAACCCATGCTTTACAAAATCTATTTTATTTACCTATATGAAGATTTCTTGACTTCTACATGTGATTTTTGCTATGAAATGTGAGTTTTGATGCATTGTCTTGTGATAATGCATATCTAGAGCTTGTTATTAGGGTTCATGTATGTCATTGCTTGGCTATTCCTTTGATTCAAGTCATGTTGTGTTTATTTTGTGAGATTTTGGGTGTTTTGGACTTGAATTTGAGCTTGTGGTTGAAAATCCCCGAGGGGATTATTTTTGGTACAGGACATGTACCCGTGGGCGGAACGGCGGGTAGTGGTCCACCCACCGCCCCACCCGCGGGGTACAGGCGTGTCGTGGGATGGTTCCCGCGGGTACATATATGTTGGTTGTTGGGGAATTGTTCCCCGTGATTCTTTTGACTCAGTAATTGGTATTTTGACTTCCCGATTTTCTTTTATTGGACTATTTGAGTGTCTTCTTGATGTTTCGTATGTCTAGAACGTGATGGTAGGAATCCATGTAGGATTTGGTGTTTGAATCGTGCTAAGTGTTCAACCTTGTGATCCGTTGAACCATGATGAGTCTTGTACGTTCTTCGGAACTATATTTGGTTTACCCGTTTGATAAGCATGCTAGTTTGATGTTGAAATGCTAGTGTGTGTGGTTTGTTCTTTCCTCTTGTGGATGATAACTTGTGTTGATCATCGTTGGAGTCGGATTATGATCCTTTCCTTGATTGAGTATGGTTTCATATCTTCGTTGCGATCCGTTGATTGATTCATATGATGATCTGTGTGTTGGCTATACCTGGATTGCACGATTAATGGAATGGGACATTAATCACCAAGGTACAGATGTGGTCCTCGTGGTGGCCATGAAATGATATTATGGAGTTGTAAACTGCGCTTCAGGCTTATGTGATTTGGGCTTCAGGCTCATGAGATTGGTGGTTGTGTGATTGATATGTTTGGTACCATCGTGTACTTTGAGATCGGTGGTTTTGAATTGGTGGATGTTGGAGGGGGAAAGACGGTTCCCGGAGGTATAAGGTTGGACTTGGAAGTACAGGGTGGCACTCGGAGGTAAAGGTTGGAACTAGTTATAAGGTTGGGGGTAGCCATAAGGTTGGAACCGGGCATAAGGATGGCATATTGAATCTGGAATGTGTAATATGTGACATGTAGTGTCACGGTAGCACGGGTTGCCAATGTGTGTGATTGTTTATCCTCTTCTGTTGAGCATGCCGAGGAGTATTCTACTTTGTGATCAGTAGAATACACCTCGAGTTGTACTTGTTATCGTTGTTGTCTTTGCCGTGATGTTTCTACTTTGTGATCAGTAGCTTACATCTTGAGCGGTGTTGAGTTGTTCTGTTGTATCTTGTCTTGATGTTTTGGGATGTGATTCCCTTATTCTTTTAGAGTGGAATAGAGTCTGTATTGTTGACTTCTCTCCTTATGGTTTTGAACTGATATATACAGTATTCCGTTTCGAAAATGATTTTGTATTAGACTATCTATACATATGCTATTGACGCGTATTGACGGGTTACCAGCATTATTCGTTGACCAGGCGTCGTCCCATTTATTTATGTGCTTTTCAGGTCCCGAGTAGTCGGCGAGCGCGTTAGAGATGGCTAGTTTAGTCTCCCAGACAGTTTTAGTTGTGTTTTGGGCCTGTGTGCCCCTTATGTTGAACAATACATTAGATTGTTGATGATGGTTTTTGCCTTTGCGTTCACAATGGTGTGAGCGTGGCATAACACTCCCTTTTTCTGGCTTTATATATATAGACTTCCGCTGTGTTTTGCTTATGTTTGTGGTTAGATTATCTTGCATATTTATGTTTAAAATGGCATGAAAATCGGGGGTGTTACAGCCTTGAGTCTTGATATTGATTTTAAAGTTAGCGTTACTTAGGGTTATATATATGTATTCCAGTCTCAAAATGATTTCCTATACTTATATTTATTGTACTCAACGGGTGGGAGTGTGTTACTCAACATTATTCACTGACTGTTGTTACACCATATGTTTTTCAGGTACAGATCAGTAGCTTCAGAGTGCGCTAGATGGATGCAAGGACTTAGCTTAGATAGTTTTAGTCTTGGTAGATGGCCTGCGTGCCTAGACTTGTATTTTGGATATTGAATTAGAATTATGTTCTATTTAGTTATTTAGCCTGTGCATCTAAGTTCCCAAGCTTGGATGTGGCATAGCACCCCTACTCGTATGCATAGTTCTGCTCTGTTTGGGTAATTAATGATAGATTCGCCTTTATTTCATAAGCTTTAAATGTTTTAAAAACATTAGGGGTGTTACAGTTGGTATCAGAGCCTAAGTTCGACCCTAGGATAAGGTTTTTAAGACAAGACTCTATGACATTAAGCTGAAATTCTAGGTGCTTAAACATTTAAGACTTAAGAATTCTAGGATGCGCAGTGAGATTGTGAGTTTATTTATCGCTTTCCGTAAAGTTTCTATGCTTGCCCTTTTTTATTCGACTCTCTTGGGCACCAAGGTAAGGGTGCAGACCCTTGACTTGCATCTAAGACCGACGTTAACTCTGTAGAAACTAGGATGGCACCATCGCCAAACCATGGAACACCCGCTCGCGACACGTTGACTCAGAACCTACAACAGTTAACCCAGATCATCCAGACTGTGAACCACGCCATCGTGACTAGTAATGATCAGTCCGCACTAAACGGAGACCACGACATGGCTCACTGAATAATGAGCCACAATCCCCCTTCCTTCGCCGGGGAAGAGAACCCCGCGATACTCGAAGAATGGATCCGAACGTTTGACAAGATTTTCGAAGTAACAGACTGTCCAGTAGAGCATCAAGTCGGATCGGCATAGTTCTACCTCAGGCACGAGGCCGACTAGTGGTGGACGCAAGAAGGACCAATATATAGACAGGAATCGGGTTTTAATTGGCAAGCTTTGAAAACCAAACTACAGGAACGCTTTTACCCCCCTCATGTACGAACAGCCATGTATGAAGAATTTCTTCATCTAAAACAGGGAAGTACCACGGTGATGGAATACCATAAAAGATTCCTGGAGTTGGCGCGATTCGCGCATCAATTAGTTCCTACGGAAGCAACCAAAGTGGAGAAATTCGTTACAGGGCTCAACTTCGAAGGTAGGAAAGCCTTGACCATGTATAAACCCAGAACACTCAACGAAGCCTACACTAAGGCGGCCGAGCTCTATCAAATACAAAATACTTCTAGGGGAATTCCCGAGGCACACAAGAGAAAGGTCGAGGGAAGCCCGATGAACCCTCCCTAGAAATTAAGGACAGCCAGGGTCGTTTCCCCTCAAGGCCAGGAAATGTCAATGGCTTAGGTCTCGGAAGATGAAATGGGAACCGCTCAAGGAAGGATTCTCGCCATGAGTAAAGCCAGGATCGAAGACAGTGACGTGGTAACCGGGACGTTCCTAGTGCACTCCATGCTCGCCATAGTGCTATTTGACTCAAGAGCCACCAATTTGTTCATAGCAGTCGAATTCGCAGCCAGGCTCGGCTTAACGACAGGCACAAGGGTACGGTTAAGGGTCAAAGCGACGTCAGGTGAAGTATTGAAATGCGACCGTATGTTCAAGGATGTGATGATCACCATAGGCGGAGTAGAATTCCCTAGCAACCTGATCTAGTTTGGGCTAGACGGTATACAAGTAATCCTGGGGATGGATTGGCTAGGGAAATTCAAAGCCCAAATCCTGTGCGGCGAACAAAAGATAATTTTGAAAGGGCCAAATGGGAGGCGGGTATCTTACCGCGGCTCCGCCAAAGATCTGGAAATTAAGTTGGTAACCATGATGAAGATGAAGAAATACTTAACTAAAGGATGTGAGGTTTTTCTGTGCACCATCGAGGATTTAAATGTCAAGGGTGACGAATCGCAGCCAATCCCGATGGTAAGCGAATTCACAGATGTTTTCCCCGAAGAGATTCCTGGGGTACCACCACCTAGGGAAGTGGAGTTCACCGTGGACCTAGTGCCAGGCACCGCCCCCATATCAAAGACGCCTTACAAAATGGCACCAAAAGAGATGCAAAAATTGAAGACTCAATTACAAGACTTGTTAGATAAAGGCTACATCCGCCCTAGCACCTCGCCATGGGGGGCCTAGTACTATTCGTTAAGAAGAAAGATGGGAGCATGCGGCTATGCATTGACTATAGGGAATTAAATCAAGTTACAGTGAAGAACAAATACCCCCTCCCTCGAATAGATGATTTGTTTGACCATCTCAAAGGAACAGGTGTGTTTTCAAAAATTGACTTGAGATCCGGATATCATCAAATAAAGGTAGCCAATCAGGACAACCCTAAGACCGCCTTCCGAACTCGCTACGATCACTACGAGTTCATGGTAATGCCTTTCGGATTGACCAACGCCCCCGTAGTATTCATGGACTTCATGAACCGCGTGTTTCGCCCCTACTTGGATGAATTCGTGATCGTGTTCATTGACGACATCTTTTGGTCTACTCTCGAAACAAGGAAGAACATGAGAAACATCTACGAACCATATTACAAACGCTAAGAGAAAAGCAGTTGTATGCCAAACTCTCCAAGTGTGAATTATGGAAGGACAGTGTGGCATTCCTAGGCCACGTAATAACCAAGGAGGGGATTATGGTAGACCCAACGAAAATCCAAGCGGTGAAGGAATGGTCCCCACCCACGTCAATTTCAGAAGTTAGAAGTTTCCTCGGGTTGGCTGGATATTATCGAAGATTCTTACCTGATTTCGCAAGGATAGCTCAACCCATGATGAGACTCATGAAAAAGGAAATCCCTTTCCAATGGGACGCAAGTTGGGACCTGGCTTTCCAAGGGCTAAAAGAGAAATTGACTACATTCCCAGTGTTAGCACTGCCATCGGGATTGGAAGGGTTTGAAGTTTACAGTGATGCTTCAAAGAAAGGACTGGGCTGCGTGTTAATGCAAAATGGTAAGGTGATTGCTTACGCGTCTAGGCAACTCAAGACACACGAGGAGAATTACCCCACCCATGACTTGGAATTGGAAGCAGTAGAATTTGCTCTAAAAATCTGGAGGCACTATTTGTACGGGGTGCAATGTAAGGTGTACACGGACCACAAAAGCTTGAAGTACATCTTCACCCAAAAGGACCTAAACATGCGACAGCGACGGTGGTTAGAACTCATAAAGGATTACTGTAACACCCCGAAAATTTTAAACTTTTGAAGCTTAAATAATAAAGGTAAATGCTCATAAATCCCAAAACATACATAAGAGTACGGGGTGTTATGCCACACCTGAGCTAGAGAACTCAGGTGCACAGGCTTACTTCTAGGACCATCGAATAGTATCAATACATAAACATGGCACGCAGGCCGAAAGGGAAACTATCTATTCTATGCTCCGAATCTCTAGTGCGCTCCAGTGACTAATCCTCTGTGCCTGAAAGCCAAATATATCTGTTCAGCGAGAGATGCTGGTAACCCACTCCAACGCGTTGAAATACAGTACATATAGATATATACATAGATATAAGAAAAACCATTTCGAAGTATGAAGATATATCCTAAGAGACTCTAGCTTTATAAAACAGGGCATAGACTCGACAGATAGGGATAAGCACAGTCAACAGTCATACAATTCACAAGCATAGGGAACAGACTCGACAGATAGAGATAAGCACAGCCAATAGTCATAACCAAGCATATACAGTTTACTAGCATAACAGGACCAACCGCATGCCCATACATGAGGGTCAGCGCATATAGCTCTGACACGGCCCCGCAGCACCCTGCCCCGTATCGCAACACGGAGGGGTCGATCACAACCGACCGATGAACCGCAGCTCATCATAATGTTTGATCCCAACCAAACAGTGGACCGCAGCCTAAGAGTAGTCATCTGACCGCAGCCAGGAATATGAACCGCAGCTCATGTAAAACGTTTGATCGCAACCAAACGGTGGACCGCAGCCCGAGAGTGTAAATCTGACCGCAGCCAGCTTCTAAACCGCAGCTCAGGAATAACCAATTTGATCGCAACCAAATTGGGGTTTCATGCACACATAACACATAGCAACCACATGCAACCCACATTGACACATTGGGAAGGGGGAGAAATCGTATAACGAGACCTATGCGTGATCATCCACATACTAAGAATACTCCTAAGGGGTTCATACCTCTTACACCTAGGCCAACGGGATACCAATCCAACTAGCATGCAATATATAAGACTTATTCAACCTACGAATGGTACCCGAACATCAAACTAGACATAGGCACGATGGACGGGTTCCGTTGGGACACCACGGGGGTCTGGGGAACATCAAACGGGGAAGCCGGAATCCCGAGGCGGGGGAATTTCCAGCGGGTAGGCGGTGGGTGAAGGGTCACCCGCGGGCGACAAGTCTCCGGGCAGCGGGTGCCCGGCGGCGGGCAGTCGCCTGCCCGCTGCCGCCGACGTTAAACCTGGCCGCGGGTAGGTGGCGGGTCCCCTACCCCCACCTACCCCCCACTGACTCTTTTTCACAAATAACGCCCCGGGAACCTTTGTGGAACCCGAAACCATGCTTAGACACCTTTAAACGCAATTGATGGCAACACGTAGACAATTAACGGATCAAAAGCGAGAAACATGCGGCACCTGTCCTATCATGCTTTCTAAACATAATTAACACCCAAACATGTGAATTCCCACCCAATACATTAAGAATAACACCATACGAGTTTCACGTTACATCCTAGGGCTCTAATCACAATTAAATCATCAAGAACGTAACCCATCTTTTAATATCAAGAAATATCAAGATTCATCAAGAACATTACACAATCATCAAGAAACCCTTATCATCATCAAGATTATCAAGATAAAACCATATCACCAATTATCAAGATCACATCATCAATATCATAACAATTCATCAAGACACAAGAATATAGGAGGATGCCTAAGAGAGAGAGATCATAGCTAAGAAAATAGGTTTTGTTGAGACATGGGTTACCTCTTAGCCTTAATTAATTTCCTTGGCTATGAAGGGTCTTTCTCTAAGTCTTCCTTCTTTCTTGATTTCTCCTAGGGGAATTCTTGGAGCTCCTTGTGTGGTGAGAGATTATTGTGGTGTGGGTTCTAGGTGCCTCCTATGTCCCCTATTTATGTATCTAAGAGTCCTAATTAGGGCCCAAATACTATAGGCTTGCTAACTCTATTCCTTTTAGGACTAGGGGTTGGGTTTTTAGAGGTGAGGCCCACGGACTATGGTGGGCCTTTTCCTAATTAATTATTGTAATTTAATTCTTTCTTTGGATAATTGGTTAAATGATTAATTGGTTTTAGGGTTCGTAACACGGGGTGTTACAATTACGATTTAAACATCCAATACCACGAGGGAAAGACTAACGTAGTGGCAGATGCGCTCAGCATGAAAACGAACAACTCCCTCAACACCACTTGGGTATTGGCGGATGAATTATATGGGGATTTTCAAAGGTTGGGATTGGAAGTGGTAGAGCAAGGTCAAGTGGAGGTCGAGATTCAGCTATTTAGCATGAGGGTCGTGCCTGCGTTGTTTGAAGAAATCAAAGATGGCCAGCAGCAAGACCCCGAATTAATGCAATTAGGGCTGGGCGCATTCGAAAAAAGAAAAGTGTCATACTAGCTATTTAACGATGTAGCCTTCGCTATAAAGGAAGGTGGTGTGTGCCCACAGCATGTACACATCTGAAGAAATGAATCCTAGAAGAGGGCATACTCGGTGCACCCTGGGGGCGACAAACTGTACAAAGAAGTGAAGAAACAGTTTTGGTGGCCCAACATGAAAAGGGAAGTGGCAAGCTTTGTGAGTAAGTGCCTGAACTGCCAGAGAGTTAAGGCTGAAAGGTGTAAACCCAAGGGACTCATACAACCACTAGAAATACCCCACGGGAAGTGGGACTCCATTTCCATGGATTTCGTAGAAGGCTTACCCGTGACCCGAACGGGAAATGACAAGATTTGGGTAATTGTAGACCGGCTAACCAAAACTGCACGATTCATCGCCATGAAGGAGACTTGGACGATGAACTAATTAGCCAAGGCTTATATAAGTCAAGTGGTCAAGTACCACGGGGTACCACGAGATATTGTCTCGGACAGGGATTCCAAGTTCCTATCCCAATTTTGGAAATCGTTACAAACAACTTTGGGGACAAGACTAAAACTAAGCACTTCTTTCCACCCCACAACCGACGGACAGACTAAGAGAACAATCCAAACCCTAGAAGACATGTTGAGGGCATGCATGTTAGACTTCTAGGGATCATGGGAAGAACACTTAGATTTGCTTGAATTCTCCTACAACAATAACTACCACGCGAGTATTCGTATGGAACCCTACGAGGCTTTGTATGGTCAAAAGTGCAGGACCCCCTTATGCTGGGAAGACTTGGCCCGAATACTTACAAGACACCATCGCCAAGGTCAAGTGCATCCAAGAGAAAATGAAGGCCGCGCAGGACCGCCAAAAGTCCTACGCCGATTTGGGAAGAAAACCGGCCGAATTTCAAGTGGGTGAAAAGGTTTGGTTGAAGATCTCACCCACACGAGGAGTAATGAGGTTTGGAAAGAAAGGGAAACTAAGCCCCAGATTTATCGGTCCCTACGAAATCTTAGAAAGGATCGGGAATCTGGCCTACAGCCTCGCATTACCAGCCGAACTAGATCGAGTACACAACGTATTCCACGTGTCGCAACTAAAGAAATACGTGCACGACGCTACGCATGTCCTCCAACCAGAAGTAGTCTGCCTGGATAAAACCTTGTCCTATGAAGAAAGACCCGTGAGGATCCTTGATACAAAGACGACGGAAACCCGCAGGAACACTGTGAAGATGGTCAAAGTCCTTTGGTCTAACCATGAGACTGAAGAAGCAACCTGGGAGCTGGAAAGTGCAATGAAGGAACGCTACCCCAACCTGTTCAACAAAGGTACCCTAGTCTAAACCTTAAGACATATGGTTAGGATAAGTCTCGTTACGTCTAAGCTTCGGGGACGAAACTTCTTGTAAGGTGGGGAGGGTGTAACACCCTGTGTTACAGCCTTCAAATCCGGATTAATTATTGACTTAATCTCGTTAACGAATAGTTAAAAAGGATTTAATTTGGTTAGAATTCCCTTAATTAATTAATGTGGTCCACAATGGATCGTGAACCCTTGCCTGCTCTTGAGCCTTAGGCCTGTTAAGGATAAAGAAAGTGGGCCATACCACTCAGATTCCAAATAGGATTTCTTAAACTTATAAATAGGGATTAGAAAGCATTTAGAACCTCTCTCACCTCTCATAGACACAAATCGCCCAAGAAACCTGGCCAGAGGAATTCCCCACCACCAAGCCTAGGGAAATCTCGAAAAAGAAACTTAATAGCCAAGGGAGGATTAGTTAAGGCTAATAGGTAACACATGTCTTACAAAACCTATTTTCCTTTCTATATCTTAATTATTGGCTCATTTGATAATCATATATGTGATTCTGTGATTGAGTCTTAATAGAGCTTTGCCTAGGGTTTATGTCGTGTTTATTT